CAGTTTGAGCTACATAAAAGTGTGAACACTTCCGCTCTCGCTATGTAGAGCTTTAGCTCTGAAAATGCTTGCGATCGGGCTCCGTCGGGCTTTCTTCCTTGTCCTTCTTCTTTTTTTCTTTTTTTTTTTTAAGTAAAAAAATTTCATATTGAGAATATAATAAAAAAATTTTAAATTAAATATAAAAAATTTATTTTATTTATTATTAATTAATTTTAAATCAGATATAAATTTTATATTTAAATTTTATTTTTACATTTTATATTTTTTTTTATCAGCAAAATGAAATTTATTGAATGGAGTACAAGGGGTACTCCAACCCACATACAAAAATAAAAGAGAAAGTAAACCAACACCCTCCCTTCAAACAAGTAACCAACACACCAAATATCACAAGACCTGAGAAACACCCATTAAAAAAATGACAACTTGGGACAGTAGAAAGCCTTTGCCGCAATGCCCATAGAAATCCCTTCAAACTTCACATAACCATCTCCAGCGAGTCTTACAATAGCATAGACGTAGCACCTTGAACTTGAACTCTATCCGCAGACGCATACAGCCTCTTATAATTCCTTAGGTTCCTGCCGTGTTGAACAATGGCCTTCTTGCACTCCAACGGTCGTAAAATCCAATCTGTATAGGAAAAACTGCAGCCTTGTTCCTTATTTTTCAGCCAGAAAAAAGATTTAGATTGAATAGAATCCAATATTCGCTCTTCGAACCTTTCACCTGCCCCAAACACTTTCAAATTTCTCCAAAACCAAACATACCAAGCAGTAACCAAAAAAATAAGAGGCCCTAAATCCGTCCAACTCCCCCCATTGATTCCAGCCACCACTGCATCTGCCATTCCAAAGACATCATTTGGCAAAGCACTCTGTACACCCCACCAACCCAGAACCTTCATCCACACCAGCCAAACTGGTTTACAATGACAAAAGATATGCTGGAGTTGCTCGACATTCTCGTGGCAAAGCCCGCAACAAACATTCCCCCTGGAAGAGCCACCCCTCTCTGACACAAGTTATCCTTTGTAGTTAACCTGTTCAAAAAAAATCTCCACCCAAATACGCTCAATTTGGAAGGTACATAACTAGCCCAAATGACCCTAGACCATTTCTCATCCAAAATACAACATTTCGATGATAAAAAATCGTAAGCCCTCTTAGCCGAATAAACACCATCACCACTATGGATCCATCTCCAAGTATCAGCTTCTCCCTTATGCAACCTGACCCTATTAATCAACTCCCTAAATTGTTCTTCCTCCCCCACTCCCCTCCCTACACAACCTCGCCTCCACCTACAATCCCAGACCCAATCTTCAGCACTCCAATACCCCATATCCTTTAACTGTCCCTCCCTACTATTAGCCAAAGCATATAACCGAGGGAATAAATTCCTCAATGGTTTATCCCCCACCCATTTATCATGCCAAAAATCTACACAACTCCCATCCCCAACCTTCCACTGAAAACCTTTTCCTAACATTGCATCCAACCTTTCCGACCCTCTGCCTAGGCCCATAATATCCTTCCACACACCGGACATATTCCAATTCACAACTGACGTAATATCAACCTCCTTTCTACCCCCATAATATTTCTCCCAAAGAATCCGCTTCCATAAACCCTCAACGCCATCACCTAGCCTATACCACCATTTTCCCAACAAACTGCAATTTCTCCTCTCCAAATCAGCCACTCCTAAGCCTCCTCTCCCCTTTTCCACACACATGTCCTTCCAACTAACCCATGAAATTTTCCTATCCAAATTGACGCCCCCCCAAAAAAAACTTCTTTGAATTTTAATCATCTCCCGAATAACACATTTAGGAATCTTAAATAAAGATAAATAAAAAATAGGGATAGCAGAGAGTACCGAATTGATTAAAGTTATCCGACCTCCGAAGGACAGCAAGGAGCTTTTCCAAGAGGCAAGCTTTTGGCGGAAGCGATTCAGCACGGGGTTCCAAAACTGTCTTCTCCCTGAATTCCCTCCTACTGGCAATCCAAGATAAGTAAACGGCGCTTTGCCCACCCCACAACGCATAATATCAGCTGCACCCTTTACCCACCCTTCGGACACATTGAACCCATACAAATAGCTCTTCCCAAAGTTAATCTTCAACCCTGAGATCAATTGAAACCAATTCAGAATGGCCTTCACAACCCGTAAATTATCCACATCTGCCTTCCCCATAAACACCGTATCATCCGCAAACTGTAACAGTGATAACACCATACCTCCCCTTCCAATCTCCACACCCTTCAGGAGTCCTTCACCTTCTGCTTTTTTAACAAGCCCACCCAACCCTTCAGCAACTAACAGAAACAAAAAAGGTGACAAAGGATCACCTTGGCGAAGACCATTGCTTATTGGAAACTCCGTCGTCGGGCTTCCATTGATCAAAATGGAGATTCTAGCAGTTGAAAGACACTCCCTCATCCACTTCCTCCACTTCACCCCGAACCCCATTCTATTCATCATCCAATCAAGAAAGCCCCAATCCACACAATCGTAGGCTTTCTCAAAATCCGCTTTTAAAATGAAACTCTCTTGCTTCCTCCATTTCACCTCATGTACAGCTTCATTCAAAACTAACACACTATCTACCAATTGCCGACCTCCAATAAAAGCTGTCTGCGACTCACTGATAATACCCTCCATAACCATTTTCAACCGATTGGCCAGCACCTTGGCCAATAATTTATATAGGCAACCTATCAAGCTAATAGGCCTATACTCCTTAAACTGCTCAGGATTCAATTTTTTAGGTATTAATGCCAGAAATGAAGAATTTAAACCGTTAACTAACCTCCCATTGCGATGAAAGTCCATCAAAAAACTCACAAAATCATCCTTCACAGTACTCCAAGCAAACTTTATAAAATTAAAGTTAAAACCATCTGGACCTGGAGCCTTGGATCCATCACAGTCCTTTAGCCCCTCTTCAATTTCTTCTATGGTAAAAGGTCGTTCTAGCCATTCTCGCTGTGCATCTGAAATTCTTCGGAATTGAATCCCATCCATCGTCGGTCGACACCATTGTTCCCTCTGAAATACCTTGGTGAAGTACTGCACTGCTGCCGCCTTAACAAGCTCAGGTTCCTCAACCCAACCTTCGTCGCCATAAATACCTGAAATTGCATTTTGGGCTCTCCTGGCGTGCACGCTCCTATGAAAGAATGCTGTATTTGCATCCCCGAGTTGGGCCCAATTAACTCGAGATTTCTGTTTCCATACTGATTCCCGCTTCTTTAATAAGTC